TGATCATGTCTCCTCTGGAGTGCCAGTGTTGATTGGAATATTATCTCTGCGACTTCATTCTCCCCGCCTACTAATAACGAATTTACTCCCTAACTATTTTGTTGGCCATTCTTCGAGGACGTTCCAACTTTTTGCAATCACATTGCAACTGGTTTCGCGCGAGAAATCATCAGAAACATTGAGTTTCCCGTGTTGGGCTTCCTTTGATTTAGTGCTGCTGTATGTACTGCTGACGTGCTGCCCATATGCGTCGGGCAGTGTCTAAGAGTATTTCATTTATTTCATTGTTAATTCCGTTCATGAAAAATATACACAGGTTTAATTTTCAGGAAGGGAAAGCGGACAATCAAACGGCTGTTCGTTGTATAAAATATTTTGAGGCAAAGACAGGCGGTGTTGTTGTTGGATATGATGGTGATAGGATGTAGACAGACATCCTCCGAGATAGTAGTCAATCAAGATCTTTATTGTCTGACGAGTGTCGTTACCGTCACTTCACTAGAAATAACACCTGATGTTAAATCACGGATAAAATGCGTCGAATGCGAAGGAAGTTGTACTCCGGTGGAGTATGATCCCAAAACAGATAGCTGCATTGTTCCACATATCATCTGCTACACCGAGTCCGTAGAGTGGACTCACCTGCAAACCCTGTATTAGTTCACTCAAATTGCCTCATTTATTTTCAACAATATTCTTCTAAAATTAATCACAAAACGTGCATGATATGGATTCGTATGTCAGAAGACGGAGAAATTAGTTCAATCTTGGATGACTGGTGTCGCTTCATAAAGTGACTCCCAAATGTGAGACGGGCCTCATTATGGTAGCATAATCATTCATTTAGGTCCAGAACAGGTAATGAATAATGGTATTCTGCACAAATCCAATGGCTACATCGTTAGCCAATACACTTATTTCTTATTAGATATGAATGTGACTTTATTACACTCCGAATTAGCAGATTGATGACGATGATTGATGAGGATTGATTGATGAGCACATTTAGTGAAGGAAAGATAAACATTTTTCTCTTAAAATGATTCCCAAGTAGTGAGATATATTGAGATGTATTGACATGAATACGAATCACTGAAAACGAGCTTGTTCGCTACTCTGTTGTGTTGTTTAAAATGATTCCATTCGATGCGAGTAACGGTTAATGTTTACAATTTGTCATCCATAAAGAAGGGTGTGACACTGAAGTGGAACCAGAACAATCACTAGTAAGTTACTAAGTTAAGACCGGTTTCAGATGCTGGAAATGATACTCAATCAACCATTGCTTCACGTCCATCTGCTGACNAGATGCTTTAAGCCAATCAGTATTTACCTACAAGGAATGCAAAATCATCACCGTTTCACAGAGTGCCTGCTTTGAGTAGCGGAATATAAATAAGTCACACTACGGAATGTGTACACAAGAAAACATGTGGCGAATTCTGATTGCTTTTGTGGCCTTGTCTCGCGTGTATGCAGACCCAGGTGAGTTTGGATTGATGAAACTGCATTTGCTCGTATTTCAGCAGAATCTATCGTCTGCGCCACGAAAACTTTAATGGCGACAGAAACAAAAACGGAGCTTGTCCTCATTCCCGAAGTACCAGGTGAATGTATTTCAAACATCCAGGCGGCAACACAACGAACAATTCAGTTGAGCTGGCCGTCAGATCAAGGTAAAAATTCGGCAGAGGTAAGCCCAAAATCTCCACCTGTATTGCGACCTGTGAATTATCTAGCCTGACCAGAGTACAGATTGTATTTTGGTCACAGGATACAATAACCCAGCTGGCCGAAAATGGTGCAAGGGTGATGACACTAATGTGTTTACATCTAAAATATCAGTGAAAGTAAACCGGACAATTCCCAAGACTACTAAATTCGAGGAACTAAAACAATTGCAAACAATTAAATTGTATCACCAACTGGGTGAGCGGATATATATTCACATTATCGATTATCCCATTTCATAACACAATTTAAAGAGCATCACAATCGTAAAAATATTAGGAATAATAATAATTATTATTATTATAAAATGTACTTGTGATTCCTAGTGAATGACCCAGAATGCTCGGATGTCGTGGAACCCGCAACGGAAACTGCTAAGTCGTTCAAAATAGTTAAAACCGGTGATACTGTCAAGTCTGGAACATCCTGTCGATGGACAATCGATGCTGTTCAACAGAAAAGCATTCGAGTTAGCTTGGAAGCGAAATCTGTGAGTTAACAAATTCAAATCTCCGCTTTAAAGTTGTCCAGTAAGCATATTTCTGACCGCTGGTAAAAGCGGCCATCGATACACTAAATTAGCCTCATCAACATTGTTTACCTATGTTTCCTCGGTGGAACCCGGCCTATCGTTCCTGACTTTGGGTGTCGAGGCCTTTACCTCTCAGTTATGTTTCAACAATATAAGGTTTTCTTGCCGACACGGTTCAACTTAAATGTTTTATATTGATTTGCCTCATACAAATCTATGGGCACTATAATCTGCGTATTTCTTCCTACATATTTTCAGTACGATCGCTGATTTACAAATGCTTAGCCACCGTAGCTGATGGCTTGATTTCATTATTTCAAAAGTGGATAGTGAACAATTACTGATTGGCTGCACATCTTAAACCGTTCTTAAACTAAAAAGCCAAGAATGGACTAAAGTTAACTGCTTTTCCGACTAACGTCATTGCTTGACCAACGACGGTCACACATTGAAGTTGATAATATATCGCATTTTCACAGAACGGAAGAACCAGTGGCGATGAAGTTGCGTTTTGTTGAAATTGAAAATCTAGTATACTTCGCAATCATTCAGGCACCTCAGTTTCATGGATGAGACCTTGGATTTCCGAACAGAAAACATCCATCTGCCGAAGGTTTTCGCTGGTCGGTGCTTATTTAGTCTGACTCATTTTAGATTTAGTAAATGGGTTAGTAATCTAAAGTGATCGCGTCATGTATTGCGCAATGCAATGGAGTGAGTATTGTCATCGCATAAAACTCTTCGCGGTAGACTTCAGTGATTAAGATACTCTTTTTTATGCAAAATAGTTGCTTACTGCAGTTTCAGTTGCTGCTCTGGGCTGAGGAAAACCGTATGCATCAACCGTTACCGCGGTGATTGAGTATGAAGACATACAAATTGATCAGATGGAGTAAGTGGCTCCCATCTTCGAGGCTGGAGTCCAAACGGCCGTAACTGGATATTTGCACATAACGAGGGAGAGAGCAACTAATTGACGACAAAGCGGTTCTTTTTTTCAATCATCTTCAGATCAAAATTTATGAAAAGCGTTTATACAAAAGTTGTATTCATCGTGTTGACCATAAAGGTTCGTTTACTTTGCTCTGCCCTGCAGATAAGCCTCATTCATGAACACCTTACATATACTCAACCACTTAGTGCGCAATGCAAGATTAGTAACAATCAGTGAAGTTCGCATAACTCTGCCGCTGCTGTTGACGATGATGATGATGATGATGATGATGATGATGATGATGATGATGATGATTATCACTGTCATCATGAGGATCATGAACCGGAGTAATTGTTTATGCATATTCCCAATCTGCTCGTTGATTAACCAGTGCTTAGTCACTGCTGTTTTACAGTTCCGGTTGACATTTGTAAAGGGCTTGGCAGCAATCAAATGCATCACATTCTCACTCCATGAATTTTATGTTCTCATTTACAGGCCGATACTGAGAAACAATGCGTAACAGTATTCAACGGAGACAGCAGTTCGGGTAAACAGATTTGCGGCATCAAAGATAAGAACGTGTTCACTGGAGACCTCAGTAAGAATTTGGTTATCACATACGAGGCTCCGAAGGACACCGGAAAGACGGGAGTCAAGAAATTTGAAGTTACATATCAAGCAGGTCAGTTTCATTTATCATAAAAACGTGATTCAAATTACAGTCAATGTACTCAGAACTCAATGACTATCAGGACAGTTTCTATAATTGTCATTATACGACTGTCTCAAAGAACGTGACTTGACCACTAGTGCGTTGATATACATCTGAAACAACACACGAGCTTATGTTTTGAAACAAATGTAGGCTGATGAATTAGTTTTACATTGTTTTTATTTGATGGAAACAGAATTTATGGTGAGTGAAACGGTATCTTAGTAGACCAATTATGGTGAAACATGATATCATCCCATGGATAAAATTAAATTTAGCAGTGATTGGATATGCACAGAAAGGCATAAAATTTGCAGCATAAACAAGCGAGATAAAGCAGCTGAATAATCCTGATTGACATGGTACTCGACTAGTGAGGTCAAATCTTCATTTTCTTATTCTACGAGCAAGCTGCTTTTTGAATTAACCGACTGCAAAACATCGTACTCTATATTGGACCACTGGCTATTCCGTTCAACGCACAAATGTATTTCGAATAAAAGAAGTTCAAGACCATCTCACTGTGTTTATTGATCATTTCCAGTGAGCGATACCAGGTGTACGGACACACCAAATCCCCCGACGAATGTTGTTCAATCATTCAAAGTGGTCAAAGACGTCGAAACAATTCCGGCCGACTTGGTTTGTGCGTGGAACATCAGCACCACGGCGAACAAAAATTTACGCATCAGTCTGAATGTGAATTCGGTATGCAATTCTCCCATTTATAATTACTTCGAGCGATTCCTATTCTGATTCATAAAGCATATTATGAAAATATTCTTAAAATTTCTTTCTCATGCGTTAATCTAAGAACATCCAGACATGATGACTTGTGCTTAGTCTGAAGACTAACCAACCTCCATACCTCTTGCAGCCTAGCACAGACTCCCAATGTGTTACAGTTTCCAATGACGACAATAGTAACGAGAAGAAAATCTGTGGTAAAGAAAAGGAAAATGAGTATGTTTCCAATGGAAAGGGTGTGCATATCACCTTCGAGCAACAGGCTACCAGTTTACCAAACTTTGAAATATTTTACAAATACGGTAAGTTGTATACACAACTGCGACTTTTCATTGAGAAAAGTTGGTGAATTCGGAAAACGGTTCCCAACAGAGAGATTGTTTTCTTACTATGCTGTAGATAGCCACGTAGTGCTCTAATTATCACGCCAATTTCTTCATTACAAATTTCAGTTATAACAGTCTCCTTTTCATCCGGGTACTATTTTACGAATGTGGATAAATTGGGGAACAGAAAATTATTTCATTGTGTTTCTCATTTACTCCGAAAAATCTATAATACATTCTGTTGGTTTCCTTTAATTGCATATTCAGATACTGGTACCAGATCCATGTTATCCGGAATATCGCTAATTGGATGCCTGGTAACTCTGCTGTTAGAGCAAAATCGATGAGTGCAACTGCTGGGACTGGTGGAATAATGTGTTCCTCAAATGTGAATGTAATCAATCTACCATTCTGTTGCATGAATCCACATTTCCAAAATGCTGACTGGATTAGACAGATTACTCAACATTTGAATAACAATATTTGTCACACGTCCTTGGTTTATCTAACACTTCTTTCACATTATGTAACGGAATAAACGAAGGCAGTTTGAAGATCCACGTGATCCTTACTTGCGCTTGAGTGTATTGACAACTGCCCTCCTCAGATTTGAGTTCTCAACATCCACTACTGTCCATGACGCATCCAGCTATGTCAATAGTTTCAGAAGGGACAGTGAATGGATTCGTTTACTCAAGTTACTCAATGGTTGATCCTAAGGAGATTCATTTCAATCTATCGTATAATCCAGAAATCAGAATGAGAGCAGCGTTTTATGCCTGCTGGTCATGGACAATTTTGTGTTTCGTTGTCCCGTCTAGCTGATCAAAAATAAATTAACTTGAGAACCGCAGGCGAAATGAGAGCTGCACCAAACGGGCCCGTGTTACTTTTCATTCGATTCAGTGATTATTTTTGATAATTCCCAGAACGTGATCAACCCGAAAACATATGTTGAAAAACAAATTTAAACAAACATCCCGAGTGAGATATGAGGAAGTATATAGTCAACTGAAGTATTTCTTCTTATGTGTGGTTTTATTAGTATGATATCAATTCACATGAACAGGAAAACCAATTTGTTTGAGAAACATACTTTAGGTCAAATTGTTCTTTTTAACCCTGGAACTTCTACCTCGTGTAACGCCCAACTGATCAAAGAACGCAGTCATCGCTGATCATATGTGGACGACATTTTGTGCAGTGGTTTGTGAAAATCTGACACTGGTTTTAATCACGCCTATCGAAGAGTGAGTTTGACGATCATAAAACAAGAACGCACGAACCAGAATATGTTTGTGTTTCCCAAAACCCTCGCAATAAGGAGTCTATCAGGTGATCAGTTCAGGGAGGTGAAATGGACTGCAACTTGAATTATTTATCTTAATACCGTTCAATGAAACGACAAACCATAGAATATGTCTGGTCAGCAGAGCTAGGCTGATCTACTTGAAGGAAATGATGATTCGTTAACACCGAACTGTACGAACTATCTTTATCCGAAATGGATTTTCCGGACAGTAAGTTGATTAGAGTTTTCTAAAACGCAAACGCCCCTACCAAATGATTAGAGCTAAAAAGGGTGCTGAACCTCTCTCTCTTCACCTTCTGAAGGTGGTTTGGAAGATATTGTGCACAGCACGTCGCCAACATATTCGCAGATAAGATTTCATTCAAATACAGCTTTCTGCATACATTCATTTCAGTATTCCTGCAGAGTGAAGTGAACTTCCCGCGTGTCTAGACCACTATCGGAAATAGGAAATCGGAAATCGTAGCAAGCTCTACACATATTTCCGTCGAAAAGCAAGAATCAATGGAATGCCGGAAACAGGTTATGAAATGCGGAACTTTGACTATGAAAACAAACGGATTAACGACTGAAAATTTCACAGCAACTCTCTCATTGTCATCAAGTCTCCGGGTAAATATGGGCATAACCAATTTCTAGAAGCAGGTGGGCCAGATGGGATGATTTTATGGTTAAACATGTGGACCGATAATTTACATATCCACAGGTCACTATGTAAAGGATGGACGCGCTCAGAGTGAAATTTTTCCACAAACACCAAGCATGTATCAGTATGTCCGTCACAGTTAGTTTCAATCAGGGTGTATAAAATCTTTTGGTAAGCACGAGCGATTATTTTGAGACCGCACCTCAGTAGCTTGAGGTCAGCCACGAGGAAATCACAGTGGGATAGTAAAGGAGTGCAAAGAGGACTTTATGGAATAAAACCTTCTATCAGAGAGGTACCATTCAGCTTAGGAGCAACAGTCGGATGCATAGAAATCAAAGTCGGATACTTTGGAAGTGACGTCTAAATACTTTACATGGTCAACACTCCTCAATGGTTCTCACTTATCTGTACACTATCTGCTGCAAACAGAGAACCGCCCAAATTATAGGGCACTCAATATATTTCTCATGGTTGTGATAAACAATCTATAACGTGGAATAGCTAACAAAGACGGCTTACTTTTTGTATGCTCCTAGTTATCGGGGAAAAGATATGGAAATAGACGTGCTGATGCCACCAAAGTACTGTTGATGTCGTACAAGTGGAGTATTCAGTGACTGGTGCCGGGTCATTGCAAAGATAGGGCGATAATAAACCCCTTTAAAGTACGACCATACTAATGGTCGATGCCATCGCATGTATACTAACTCACGAAATCGGCTCAAATCTTGGCCTCCAAAACATTCAACAACAAGAGAAGGACTAGGAAACGACTGAATGTTTTTAAATGAAATAAGAGAGGCAAACTGGTCTAAATATGAAACACATTGCAGCAATTCACACAGCATGTATTTGGTTTCACAATTCACGGTTGGAAACAATGTGATCGGAAATAGAAACAGCATTCTGCGTGTAGCGATTATTGTTAAATGCTGCTTACCACGTGAAACATATCGGTCGAGTTTTGCTAAACAAAGGCTTTGTCTTGTTCACTAAAGTGAACACTCGAATCAATAAGATGATCACTCCTGTGACCATGCATGTTCCAAACATATTACCCACTCTCATTGAAGCAACTGCACTTTCAAACTATTCATAATCCATTAAATAGAATCCACCTGCTCTCTATCTAAGCTACTGAGTTGAATCCGGGATATTTCGTTCATTTCCGATCATAGCTTCCTATTGCATACATCATGTGTATTATATTCAACTAATGTAGGCAACTGAATTGTATTATCTCTGGTTTGGAATGTGTCAGTACTCCACGGTGCACTCAAAGATACTTTGGTGATATCCACCATTAGGGCACAGTAAACGCAGAATGGATCGCAGAGGAATTTTCCACATTCTGTGCCGTATAGGTCTTCTAAAGATCACTTTTGACAACAGGAATTCATTTGACGGAATTCGGCGAGGCTGCTCACGAGCTATTCGACTTCATTTGTCGTGCATGAAAATCGTTAGACGTTTCACGCAAATACATGTTTGTCTATTTATGCATGTGCTGATTTGATCTCCCCACTATGTAACAGGATTTATGAATCCCAACCAACACAAATCTAGACAAAGTTGCCAGTGAGTGCATGGTTCGAACTCCTTGTAGGAATCTCCTCTTTCCATGACCATTGTTAACTATTCTCTGCGGGGGCTATGAAACGTAGCATAGCGCAAGTGAAAATTAACTGAGTGAAATCCAACCGCTGAGATAATCGATGCAAAAGGGGCTCAGTACACTGTGCTCATGCGTGAATGAAGTGACCAATGGTAAGCATTTGTAAGACAGAGTAAGATAAGGTAAATAGATATTACTCGTTCGCCGACAATGGCAACCTGTTTGCAAATGTATCATCGTCAGCGAAATTGAAATCATCAGTGCTTGAGAAGTAGCACTGCTCAGTTTGTATCTCTTAGTTTATGTATGTTTTCTTCTCCACCGACTATTCGTGTTCCTTATTCCAAATGCGTCCCTCTCGGTTTGCTGATGAACTGACGAAAATGTTGGAGGGTTGGAGGTGACGGTGTACTGGATGTAGAAATAGTGGTGGTCTAACACACTGAACACGGAATACGAATGACTGATCAGCGCCCAAGGACGTCACGTAAGCCGTGGATCACACTGGTACTTGCACGCAATATCCCACGTATACGAGACGGGAGGGAAAGGCCACCGGGGTAGTAGTTTGTTTATTTAATGAAATCAGGGGGATAAAATAATATGTACAAAACAAGCTCATCGGTCATTGAGGCCTCTACCAACCACGTTCTAATACTTCCGGCGTTGTTCAGCTTCTTTCTGGCCCGCACGGTTTCTGTTTGATTGCCACAATCGATCTATGCGATAAAGTTCGCAAGCTGTGACACGTACGCGCATTGCTCAAGTCACNTGGGAAGCTTGATTCATGAAAGTTGTGCGAAAACCGTTACTTGTTGCTTTGTGGTATGCGTAGTCTCGTAGGCCAGGATCATCACAGGAGGTCTTGGTTGTTCTTTTGTTGTGATTGCGGTTTGGTTCGTTCTCCGGACATTGCGTGTCCTGCTGCGTCATTTGTTCTTTGGGTTCTATTAGTTCTATCAGCGTGTACACGTGACTGCATTCGATATACCTTTCCATTGAATTGATTGAAGGTTATCAAGGCTCTATAAAATTCTCTGGTTTGTATTCATCGGGCTTGGATGATAATTTTGACTGACTCAAAAGCAAACTGTTTTCCCTCTTGATCCTGGTGGAGGGAACTCAACAATAGTCGACCATACCTCCTGTTTGCCGATACGTGTTCACGGATTCTTGTTGGGTGTTTTATCCCACTTTGTCCGACATAGTGTTTTGAGTAGTTATTGCAGATTATTTTCTAGACACTGCTCTTGTACTTCTCTACTGTTCTCTCTTTGGTGTAGACACAAGTTTCCCTAAACAGGCGGTTAAATTTTGGGCGACGTGCATTCCATTTGATTTGAGCAATCTGGTGTTATTTCCGAAACGTCCTTGACGTACTGTAGGGTCGTTCTTGTTCCCGATTCTTCGTCTGTTGATTGTTTCTTTCCTTTAGTCAGAGTTGTTTTGATATTGTTACCGATGTAGCCGTTGCGACCAAATACCCTGAGTAGATATTCCTCTTTCTTCTTCTTGAATATGTCAGTAATGCAATGCATTCAGAGGCTTCGAAACAGGGTCGTAGCAGAGCAAATTTTATTGTTCATTGTATACCCAATTTTTAAGTAATGATTTGATCCGTATGCGTTGCTTTGGTCGTTGATAGGCCGTTGTCTCCAGTTATCTCTCCATCACTTTTCACTCGGGTTGGAGTGTCAATGCAAATTTCGATGGGAAGCTGGACATTAAATGCAGAAGGAAGGCAACCTGCAGGTTCAAAACCTGGGAACTACTGCGGTGCCAATGTGTATATGCGATGTAATATTTGAAATTTGAGAACCGACTGAGCCGTAATCCATCCTTTCCCACCATACGGAATACGTGACAAATTCCATGGCCGTTTATCAATATATATTTTCATACGAAAAACAAATCCTGTGTGCAACGAAACGTTGCAAGCAGTGACTCTGATTCTACCATCATTTCACACAACGCTAGACACTAAGAAATTAAATTTGGCGAGTGATTTATCCAAGCCATGCCTAATACCTACTTACGAGTAATTAGGTTTTCAGAACAAAAATACGTAATCCTTTCTCTCTTGCGAAAGGAAAACGCTCCAGCAAGCGACGCTACTTCTTTTATTTGAATTGTTTGTAGACAAGATTGTTTCCTAATGAAATCAATCACACACGGTCAAAGGAAACGACACTGCAGACAGACACTTCTCGTTAATCGCTGACGGGATGCATACTCTCCGATACGGAAAATGAAAATTGATTTGACAACTGCGAATATTTAGCTAACTGTGTCCATATCTGATTCGTGCTTTGTGGTTGCTTTTGGTGTGTGGTTCGGGAAGAGTGACTGGGGAGGATATGTAGCTAACACGGTTGGGAAAACGATTAGGATGTGGAAGTGTCAACCCGTGTTAGTGTCACGGGGTTATGGGAAAGGTCACGTTCATCAAGGGGGTATGTGTCATGTTGTATCCAAGTCAGTCTGAGTGATTTTACGAATCACTTTTGAGAACAGAGAGATGGGTTTATTAATTGAACGGCCACGGCCTCGGCTCTCGCGAGATGACGTTAACGGGCGGCTTTCGACGGTTTTGTTGGTACCTTGTAGATGTTTCGAAAAGAGTCATCGTCAATCTGATGCCCGCTATCTGCCAGGTGGGCCACGAATGCACTGGAAATCGTTTTACTTGTGCTTCAACGCAGTCAAGCCGGCTTGTGTTCCCTGATGCTTTGGGACAATTGCCTGATTGTTCTGTCAAAATGTCTTACCGAACATGAGCAAATAAAAGAATAGGTGATCATGGATGATGCATGGTCAGGGAATTTATCTCTAAAGTTCACGGACATCACAGGTCGGCTCACGACATTGATGCGCCGAGAGACCGCCAGAAAGTTTCGGGGTATTTTTTTAACCGTCGTGTAACTGGTTAACTAATATAATCTCTTTGGAATGGTATTTTTATGTATAGTTCTTTACTTATTACCGTCAGTATTTGCTCCCTTTAAGGCTTCTCCAATGCGTTCTCTTCATTGAAACGCTCTGGATAGCCATTGCTCAGTTAGGCCTAATTCTTGATCAACGCTGTTGTGCAAGCAGATTCTTCTTCCGCTTTCTGCGAGACATTGAACTAAGTTATGTTTTAGCTTCATTGTCACAAAAATTGAAAATTCAGTGTAATGCACGGTTCCGATAAACTGCTCGCCTCAAAATGCCGTCGTGGAGTCTTGTTAGGTTTACATCGAGGAAATCAAATGCACCTTCCGTTTCTAGTTCTGATGTAAAACTGCTACCATTTTAGGTTTAATTGAGATTGAGTATTTCTGTCAGTCTTTCTAGTGAGATTCTGTTATTCATCATGCCATCTACATATCCGCAGTTTCGTGGTAGGGAAGAAATCCTATAACGGATCGGGTAATTTTCATTTCGCGACATGTATATATGTATAAATCTATATATGTATTGAATCTTTTTTGCCGCAACGCAATTGAGAGCTACACCAATAAACGGAGAAGCGGTTAGGAGAACATCGAGCCGTTTTGTGGAGGTCATACTGTTGAGGTGGAGCGGCATTTACTGTGGACAAACTCCCAGTGAACAATGCGTCCATACAACCATCTGGACTGAGCCGTTGATCCCATCTCAAAGACCTTCAATTTGAGGAAATCCCAGATTTAGAGGTATGGATGCTCATCGGCGCGAACACGCCAGAAGCCCACTGGTCGCTAGATCAACGAGTTGAAACTTCGAACCAACCGTTGGCAACAGGGACTGTTTTAGGTTGGGTGTTATTCGGACCGACTCACGGACCTTCTGGACTGTCAGGTTCGGTTAACTGCCTAATATATAGGACGGAGGTCGATTCAAACATCTTAAGGATATATGAAACGGAATTTACGGAGCAACATGACGGAGTCTCTCTCGCACTGTAGGATGAATGGGCTGTCAAAATAGTTAGCGAATCTGTGACACTCGTTAAAGGGCACTATCAACTAAAATTACCCTGGCGGCGAGATTGGAGTGACTTACCAGACAATCGACAGTTGACTGAGAGAAGACTGTGCTACCTTCGAGGTCGTTTACTGATAGAGCCTGAACTTCTAGACAGGTACAACGAAATAATCACGGCATACAAACTAAAGGGATATATAAAACAAGTCCCCAAGAAAGAATACAGTGAACGGCGATTCTCCCCACATCACCCCGTGTTTAATCCACACAAACCGGGAGAGATCAGGATTGCGTTGATTTCGCGGCAAAATGTTGTAGTTTATCCCTTAACGATTGCCTGTACTCCCGTCTGATTCTAAGGAATGATCTCACTGGAGTGCTGCTAAGATTTCGTCTCCACAAGATCGCAATCTCGGTAGACATCGAGGAAATGTTCCCACAAGTTCGGCTGGCACCAGAGGATCAACCCTAAATGAGCTTTATTTTGTTTTCTTCACGAGATATAAGTTCACTACCAGAAATCTACCAACTTCAACTACATCCCATAGGAGCCACATCTTCTCCATTTTGCGCAGCGTTCTCATTGAGGCAACTAGCTAGCGATCACGCCGAAGATTTTGACGACATCACAACACGAACTTTGAAGGAGAATTTTTACGTGGATGACTGTTTGGTCTCCGTGGATTCTGAAGCGATTGCTGTACGGCTAGTGGACCAACTGCGAACTCTCTTGAAACATGGTTTTCGTCTACACAAGTGGGTCAACAACAATAAAGCGGTGCTCCAGATCATTCCCTCTAGTGATGGGGCAGCTAAATTGGTTAACCTAGGCCTCACAGATCCTGAGATACAAAGAATCCTTGGGTTGTGTTGGCGAGTGGAGGAGGACTGTTTTACCTTCATAGTGAATCTACCTGAACGCCCTGCCACCATAAGAGGCATTTTATCCTGTACGGCCTCGTTATATGATCCCATCGGGTTTGTGGCTCCGTTACTGCTGCTCCAGAGCGTTAACTACAAAACCTCTGCCTAAGCACTTATGGATGGAATGAAGTAGTGGACGAAGCAACTCAGGCAGCTTGGAATAAATTTCAGTGAGAAATTCTATCGTTCGAGACACTTCTCATCCCAAGATGCATAAACCCACCGGCTTCTGAATATTTCAAATCATCTTTGCATCTGAAGTAGGTTACGAATCGGTAGCATATCTCCGTCACGCAACGGTCAATGAAGTCTTGTGTTTCGTCGTGATGGGAAAATCTAGGGTGGCCCCTTTAAAAGTAGTTACAATACCGCATCTGGAATGAAAGCTGCGGTGGTAGCGGTGCGACTCCGGCGACACATTCCGAAAGAAATCGGAATCTACCTAAGTGACGTCTATCTATGGACAGACTGAATGACTGTTCTTCACTACTTAAACAATACTAAAACGAGATTTAATACCTTCGTACCTAATTGCATTGCCTTTATCCGTGAGCATACCACGATTGAGCAATAGAAACATGTCCCCAGATATATTCCTCTTTCTTCTTCTTGAATATGTCAGTAATGCAATGCATTCAGAGGCTTCGAAACAGGGTCGTAGCAGAGCAAATTTTATTGTTCATTGTATACCCAATTTTTAAGTAATGATTTGATCCGTATGCGTTGCTTTGGTCGTTGATAGGCCGTTGTCTCCAGTTATCTCTCCATCACTTTTCACTCGGGTTGGAGTG